ATAGACAATACCAGAGATGTCCGGAATGATTTTTTTGAGGAACGGAATCCGGAATCCAGAATCCGGACAAATAAAAATTTCACGGAATCCGGAATACGGAATCCGGAATGAAACTAATTTTTCCAAAATCCGGAATACGGAATTCGGAACTTTGAGGTCTCCGATGGGCAGAAACAATGTGAAGAAACACATTTTGTGCTTTATTTTTGAATTTTTAGTCGCTGAAGTTCAAAAACGGCAGAGAATTCATGCAGAATAACACATTTTCTGAAAAATCCGGAATAAAAAATTTTCTCGGAATCCGGACAAAGGAAAATTTTTCCGGAATCCGGAATACGGAATCCGGACAAAAATATTTTTCACGGAATCCGGAATTCGGAATCCGGAATGAAAAAAAGCACGGAATCCGGAATCCGGACATCTCTGGTCTCTACTAGGCCCGTGCGATTTGCAATTTCCAAAGAGAATTTTTTTCACGAAGATTACTGTAGATTACTGTAGTATTTTTTGTAAACAGAATCACGTCAAATTGCATACAAAATTTAATTTGTTCTGAATTTTGAGGAAATCAGTTTTCTACAGTAACCTACAGTAATATTCACGATCACCATTCCGTCAAATTTCAGACAAAAAACTGGGAAAAATCGGAAAAGAATCTTCGAAAATAGCTTAATACCTTTAAAATGTCTAAAAATTTTGCGAAAAATCGAACAAAAAATCAATATTTATCCTCGAAAATTCGCTTGAAAAATCATTAACTTTTACTTTTGGGCATTGAAGGAGATTTTCACTTGAAAAACGGGACCGTGCCTGTTTTTCTCAGCCCGTTTCAATCTGTAACTTTGTTCATAGACAAGATGTAGTTTTCAAAATACTATCATTTCGCAGAAATCGTCAAGTTCTACCTTATTTTTATAACTCTTCCCGAACGTATTCAAAATGAAAAAAAATTGATTATAATCATTACTTAACTATGCAGTCAAACAATCTTTAACATTTCAAATAACCGGGCGTTCAGAACTTCCAGAACATTTTCAGAAGTGATTTGAGAGTTCGTAAAATAACTGTTCAGTTATATTTTCCTCGAAAAATGGTTTTTTAATAAAATGTATCCATCAATCGCAATAAAAGTGTTGGGGTGATTTGAAAAACGGGCTCTCGAGTTATGGTGCTCCAAGCAAAAACGGTAGTTGTCACGAGTTATTTATTAAAATGACCAAAACTCAAAATTTCAGAAAATAAGGATAATGAGTTGTTTAGCAGTTTAATTGAAACATTCAAAATTCGGGACAACATTTTTTCATCCTCTCTTCTTGTTTTTTAGTCAGGGGGTTTTTGTGTAAAACGTTCCGTTACGAATTCTAAACTTTATTCAACTAATCTGCTAAACAAGTCCTTCTCTTCTCTTCGAGAAGGACTCTTAGCTTTCTCTGAAATTGAGTCAGTTTGAATAATTTTCAGCCGACTGTTGACTGATCCGTTTTTGTTCCGAGAACGATAACTTGAGAGACCAATTTTCAAAAGGCGTAGCATTTTTTCTTGATGTCCATTGGGAATGTTGGGAAACTTTCAAAAAAATCTCACTGTGACGAAAATTGTATGAAAGTTTTTTCAGATACCAATGACTTCATTTAGAACAATTTCTCAAAACCTGAAGATTCATGCTGTAATTTCGAAATACGAAATCAATCACTCTATAAAAAAGCTTCCAAAAATAAATACTAAATTCTGTAACAAGAAGAATAGAATGAAAAATAAGATTCCATTGGTTTTCATCTCATTTCGGAGTCGTTGCCACTGATGACGTGGCTTTCCGGACGGAACCCTCATAAATTATGGAGTGTTGTTCCGTTCAGAGGTTTTTTGCCGAATCTATACTGAACGTGTTGATCAAGACATATATAAAGGGTGCAATAATTCATTATATGGAAAGTAGAAAAAAGTGTGAAGAGAGAGGGGTGGGTGAGGAGATTACGCTACGCGGTGCCTAACTGTGGTCTCCAGTAAAATGAAGGGAAGGGTTTTCAATTTTTGAATTAGTTTTGTACACAAAAAAAACTAGAGGTGGTGACTTTGAAATTTGAGACTAGGCGGAAGACGATAAAAGAACCCAAATAAATAGTTATTAAAATTTGAAACATCTTCAAACTTCACCGAAAACCTGGAGTTTCAATAGCTCACAACATTAAAATTGGAAATGAGGGACGATTGAGAAAAATCAAGATTGAGATTTTTTGGAAAAGAAAAGTAGATAAAAGGATTGGACTAAAGGTTAGAAGGCTCAGTTTATACATGTTTTAATTTTGAGAGTTAGCATGATTTGGGGAAAGTGTACAGTGCAATTTGTAAAAGGCTTTAAACAATTTTTGAAAAGGGGATGGGTGTTCAAAAAACAAAGAAATACACATAAAATTCATGAGATTCAATCGGGAGGAGAGAACAAACAGCAGATGAAGTGAAAATACAGTGATAACGAAGAGTAGAATGGTTTGAATAATCATCCAAGTTTGGGCAATTTCATGTGCATTCCATTGATTTGCCCGAGTCCATTTAGCATATCTGATGATGGTCCTGAATACATTCCATTGCTTCCACCGGCACGAGTTCCATGCTACAAAATCTTGTTTTATTTGATGTTGTTTAGGAAAACGGGATTACAAACTGGAAATAAGACTTACCGGATCGTCGCTCATCGGGAGCCCTTTCAAGCAAACACATCGTGATTCTCTTTCAGTCAATAGCGCAGTCACCCTTTCGAGTTCCCGACGCAGCACTTGATTTTGTGTCTGAATAGCCTAATTAACCGTAGACATCAAAACATAGTTCACTTCTCACCAGTAGCTGGTTCTTTTCAGCTTCCATAGCTTGAACTCTGCCCATCATGTCATCGTGCTCCTCCTTCTTCCTCTTTCTGTACCTCACAGCAGCAGCCTTGTTTCGCTCAAGAATAGTATTCCTCCTTTCATCTGGTTGCATATCTGCAGTTGTACTCCTTCCTCGACCGCGACCTCTTCCAGGTGTTCCATTTTGAGGTCGACCGACAGGATTTCCAGTGCTCGTGGAGGCAACAGACGCGGTGTTGGATGGACCAGTGCTCTGATCTTGATCCGAGCCAGAAGATGACATGCTGAAAATAAATACCACAATTTATGCTAAAAAATGATTTTAGACACACAGAGAAGAAAAAAAATTAGCGAGGAATATCTCATCAACCTTTTTTTTTTCAAAAATCGCTCATATCATAATTTTAAACAACTCACTTGTTCCTCTCCATCAGCATCATTGCTTCATCACCGAAGTATGGCATTTCTTTCTTGATTTGCTTCTCTCCGCTCAGATCCCAATTACCTTCCGCAGGGGACTTCTGAGTAGAAGGTGGCAGTGATGCACCATGAGGAGAGTGATACGCGCTCACCACTTTCGGAGGAGCTAATAGTGTGGGTGCTGGTGCTATACTTGTTGTTGGAATTGTAATTGCATTCGTGAGAACTGATGCAGAGTTCGGAGCTGACGATGATGGAGATCGTAGAAGTGCCGAGAAATCTGGTTTGTTATTCAGATAATTTATCGTGTGTAGTCGATCGGAATGCATATCGAGAACGGCATTCAACACATCGGCAGTTCGTGGAGCTTGAGCCGAGAAATCACCAGCCTGGAAAATGACTGATAACGTTACTGATAACCCGTTTCTCA